CGCCGTCGAGTTGGAAGACGTCTGGGGGCATGCCAGACGGCACGTTCGATTTCGTAATTGATGATACGTACACCAAGCGGATACCTTTACTATCTCTTGATATACTCCAAACGCTGCAATCTCTAGAAAAAGAGGAGCCTTTGAATATGTGTGATATGTTTTGAGAATTAGTTTCAAGCTTGTCGGAATCTGCGCTCGCCAACCAGAGAGAAACCCTCAACCCTTTCAGAAAAAGAGGGCACAGAGTCGAAAGCCCAGCATCTTCAGTAGCATCAAACAGGGAGCAGCAATTTCAAGGTTAGATGGACCTTTCCTGTTTTACATCAGATATTGATGGAGTTAGGTCCTGTCACCACACACACAAACTCACTTGGTAGTAATGATATGGTAGCAACCCAACAAGATGGGCGGCGCCATTTTTATCCAATGCTACCTAATACTAATGATACACAATAGGGGTCGACTACAGGCCATGTAATTCCAGAATAAGTCAGTGACAACCACCCTTTCCTGTCAGCAACACTGACTTTGATGTAGATCAACTTCCAAGCCTGTGAGATATGGGATTTGTTGCACCAGTTTATTCAACATATCAAACATGTGATCGTAACGGGAACGGCTCGCACACCGAACGTGGTAGACTGTTTAGCGACGGGAACCAACCACAAGTTCGCGACCACACACATCAAACCTCAATGACCGACAATCGAGAAGGGTACATATACACGAACGCACCAGTGAGTAGTATCGCTGCGCTACCCGAGCCCTTTAAAACAGCAGTCCAGAATAGCAAACTTTGGATACAGAAAAGACACCAAGGTCTAGAGAAGACAGAGTGTTTAACAACACTGTTTTCAAAAGATGACACTCAGGATATCTCCTTCACGATCTCATGTGCTAGTGAGGATGGATACCATCTCAACAGCATCTATGAAATGGAAGTTACAATGTCATTCTAGACCTCAAAGTATACACTGGCAACTCTGATGTATACAGTATACCCGGGCGGAACGTTGAATGGTTGATACTTGTTATAACTTCCTGGCCGGGTTGCTTTGCATCGTGGTGGGTTGGATTGTCCCCGGTTTCCTTGTTGAGGATAGAGATATAATATCCCATGAAATATATTTTCCTATGGGTGTCGGTCGGATTGAAAAAGTGGCTTGGGATGTTTTTTTCTTCTTGCCCTGCAAGTGCAATGTCACCTCTCTGTGAAAACAACATATTTATTTAGCTAGAGTCAGAAACAGAATACATCAAATTATCTACTTACCACCATGGTTACAAAATCTTTTGAGGAGTAATTAGAGTGCAACACTTTCAATGAAATGAAATATTGGATTTCATAAATCTTTCATTATGCCGTATTTTTGCGAGCAGAAAAGAGGCAGTGATGTTGCAGGGAAAGGTGGGGGTGCCTATGCAAAATACATAGCCTGACACAACGCGTGATTGAAGAGAAACAATCACATGGCTCCTTCCTCATCAGGCTTCGTTTTCAGATGACTCTTGGGCAGCAATGCATAGCAAATCATATATGGGCGACAGGCCCAAAACTATTCTCAAAGAGGATTCTGACAATGCAATGTCAGCAGAAGTAGAAGATATTGAGATCAGATTATGTACATACTAACTACCAAAGATCATACAGTTTTTCAAACAGAATACACTATGTGAGTCCATACAAATCTTGTTGTTAAGGATCTCATCAAGCTGAATGCAACGGCGAAACATTATACCGACCACTAGTTATTTGTTCCTGGTCGGCCACCAATCAAGCAGAATTCAGAGCCAATCCTTGCCTGGAAACACCGCCATTCAACTTATAGAGTGAGATGACCATCCGCATTATGCCTAATGTTGCAACTTGAAGCTACTTGTCGTTTGTTACATTAATGAGAATGGTACAGAATATCTTACTGTTGAAAACTGGATTGAAAAATCCTGCCTAACATACGCTGCGATGGTGAGTGTTGTTGAGGCTACAGAGAGTATTGCTGCCGTTACAGATGCCACCATCAAAACATGATGAGTGCGAGTAAGTTCTGAATTGCAGATTTCGTTCGAAGAGCGCACGCAAGACCCCCAGAGCTGGATATACTGCCCATACAAGAGGAAAAAGAGTTCGCTAG